AGAAGCAACCCTGCCATTCATCCCTGTACCTGCAGTGTAGACAGTGAAGCGCCTGGCTCCGGTGCTGGCTGGGTCATGGGCCTGTGCGTGCGCTCAGGTGGGACGTGGTGCCTAGCTGCCACCCGCCCTCTTGGGTCCTCAGGGCTTTTAGCTCACAGCTCTGGTCTTTGGGCTGCGTGTGCAGCAGGATGGAGTTTGTCCTGACAAGAGCATCTCACCAAGAATGAAAGAAAAATCAAAACCTGTTTTTCTGCCTGATGGGGTTTAATAAACCCTTAAGTGATGGGCCTGAAACATCTGACAGGGCTCCTTGGCAGGAAAAGGGAGCTTCTGGGGATGAGTGGTTGTGAGCAGAAACCAACCATTAAGTCGAATCTCTAAAACTTGGAGCATTTGACTTTTTCACGCCAGGAAGGTTTGTTCTGTCTCTGCATTTAACTTTCTCTTAATGCTCTTTGACAATGTAAACAGTACAAGGTGTGTGGTGTTCACAAACATTACAGAGGAGGCTAATGTCCTCTGGCAGGGAAATGATTCAGTTCAGCCAGAATCTGACTCCAGAGTTAAAGACAAGGAGTGTAATGCCTTGCAGTAAGAGGACAGTATCTCCTTGGAGACACCAAGAGACTGCTGTCACCACCTGCAGTTGGGACAGTGTCACAAACCAGTAGAACTTACCAAAAAACTTATGCCTCACAGAGACCCTGATTTTTCTTAATGAATCAATGAGTCTGTAGTTTACAGGCTGGCAGGCCCCAAAATCTCCCCTGGCTCTATGGTCACATTTTGCCTCACAGAAAAGATCTTTTTCTTGCCTGGAACTGCTTCAATAAAAAGACTCTTTTGTCTGATTTCTGTTTAACTCTACTCTGGAATTTATGTGGTGGTAGATGCTTCCTAGCTGATGCTTCTGTTTAGTTCCATCCATCATGTTCCCCTGTGTTTCTCCTATCAATAGGAGACTTGTTTACTCTGATTAATACTTACAAAAGTGTTTTTTTTCTGTAGCTCATAAGGTGATCTTAGTAGCTTTTGCTGATTGATATGATAAGTTCCTTCCCTTCCAGGCCCTGGCTGTGGAATATGGAATTCCAAAGACATGCAGGATGTTATTCTGAAGAACTAAAGTATACACCTCATGCAAATTGGGATGCTGAATTGTAAAAGTCTCTCTTCAGTATCAATTTGACAGGGAAAATAGGAAATGGGCTGATGCTGTGACAGTTGTTTCAAATTAATCTATTATCTATCAGGCCATCTAACTGGCATCTTATAAACATCTTCTATATTGCCAAAGTCCCATGACTTGTTTTTATCCTTTGTGTTTTTTCTTTTAATTGACGTGAAGCTGAATTAGGGTGGCAATCGTTGGCATGGGGTTCTGGAGGTATAGGTCAGACTAGACTTAAAATAATGCAAATGGAGCAAGAGTGCAGTATTCTGCCATTTAAGAGCTGGCAGCCAAGAGGCCCTGTCCTTGTTCCCTGAGGACTTCAGAACATGTGCATGAGAAACTGCTGAGGAAGTGATGCTGTTTGTGATAGCCAAACTTGAGTGCACTGTTCATTAGTATACATCAATAACAGGCAAGCAAAGATGCCAAAACAATCCCCATGGCCTTATGAAAGAAAAATAGAAGAGGATGCCAGCTTACTTTGAGGTTCACGTGTAAAGCAGTGCCTATTTAATAATGGGGAAAATTCAGGAGATTCATGATGTTACTCTGTGAAATTCTAACATATGGTCATCACAGTGGATTCTAGATATGCGTTTCTGAAGGCTGTAATTTATCAATCACTCTGGCATTTAGATTACTGTGTCATTTATTCAGAGAGGATGACAAACTAATTTATCTTAATTTAGGAGGAAGTGTAAGTATACGCAGAAGACCTATTCTTGTTTGCAGTACAAAAATAACACTTTCTCAGTAATGTTGGCAGTTTGATCATAGGGATGTTCAAAAACTTGGTTCCTTTGTGGTTTTTTATTACTCACAATGATTACTCTAGTCTCGACCTAGAGTCTGTGTCTTATCCCTGCTCTTCATTTTGTTAAGAACAATGTGGAAAGTTTTGTCTCTAACTTGTTTCCTTGACTTCTTCTCTAGTGTTCCTCTGCAACTTCCCGGTCTTCTTGCATGCTATGTTTACAAGCCTGGTGTCTGGACAGAGCTTCCTCATCTAGGGCTTGAGAGCTGTTTATACATTTGTAAGAAAAAGAATGTGCCTAGCAGCAGAGTGTTCAATCTCTTTCCAAAGGCAGAACAACTCCAACATGAGTCAATGCATCAATCAGGTTCCTAAAACCCAGAGGAACTTGCAAAATTGCTTAGTGCAGGGGTGTCAGACATGGCAGAGTCATGCCATCTATGCCTCCCCTGGGCCTAAGCAGACCCACACAGGGCATGGCACATGGTGGACTAGCACCTTGGGCAGGGCCCAGGCTTCATGATGCAGGTAGTGCCTGCCCAGGCTGCTCTGGTACTGTGCTGCACAGGTGGGCACTTGTGGCACAGATCTTAGACTGGCTGAAGTGGATGCTACGCTACACATGGTACCTGTCCTGGCTGTACTGTGCCCCACATGGTGCCTACTCCAGAATGCATTGCTGCACATGATGCCCATCTTGGAAGCTCTGGGATCCCCACCACATCTAGCGCCTGCTTCAGCCACCTTGGGACCTGAACTGTGCTGCATCCATTGCCTATTCCAACTGCTTCAGGATGTGTGTGCAACACGGGTCCCAAACCAGCTGAAGCAGATCCTGCATCCAGTAGGCTGGAGAGGGGGTTAGGGGAGGGAAGGGAAGTCCATGGGCTTGATCTGGTCTACAGGCCAGCCCCACACTACTCATCTGGTCTGTGGGGCCAGATGAGTTTGACACCCATGGTCTATTGTGACCGTACCCGTATTAAAGGCCAGATAATTTCACTCCAGCACTCTATATTGAGCCCAGTAACTTCTGTGCTTGAAGGTAGCATGACTCAGAAAATAGAATATTGGACAGGCACTTCCTCTTTCTGGCTCTGCCTGTGGCCTGTTGGATGGCTTTAGACAAGTCAGTTCACTGCTTTGTTCCTTGTTTCTCCATCTTCAAAGGGGTCAGCATACTTTGGTTTCTGCTGATTAAATAGAGTTCTATAACAGCTTGGTATTAATAGTATTGTGTTTGACTAAAGTATAATTTGTTTGACTATGGCCAGGAAGTCTGTGTACTTTGAATCTGGTACTTAAATTATTATTCCATTCTCTCTGACTTGGTGCTGTTGCCTAGTTCAACAGCTGCTCTTTGGTGCTGGTGTGATGTGGTTAAAAAGAATGACTTCTGTTTTGATCCCTGAAGACATGTGAATGCAGCTAATTATTTTGCTGTCTGGTAGGCAGGGACAGCTTATGGTGGTATAGAGAAGAGGAGTTTGAGGGCTTTGAAGTGTGACCAGATAAGGCAAAACATAGGGTGAAGGAAGATTACTGCATAAGCCAGTTTGCCTCTTGATCCAGTCTGTTGCACCGTACTTCCAAACTGTCAGCCTCCGGATTACCACGGTGGACCTGTATATTCATTAGAGGTGCACCGATGAAGATTTTTTTGCTCAGTACTGATGGCTGATTGTTAACTGCTTGATTGTTAACCAGTACTAATCCGACTGCCGATATGCAACCTGGAAACTTGGAGAGCAGCATCCAGGTGGTAAGTCTGTTGGGGGGATCCAGGTGGTAAGTCTGTTGGGGGGGAAGAGGCGTGGAGGGGGCAGATCAAGGCATCCACAGTGAGGGAGGGAATGGGGCTGGGGCAGGGACAGGAGTAGGCGTTGCCCAGCTGGGGCAGTAGTGCAGGGCACAGGATGGAGCTGCGGGAAGCTGATCTGGAAGGGGGTGGCTCCCACTGCTGCTATATTTATATTGGACTTACCTGTTTTCTGACTGAGTGTGCTGTAACGTCTTAGTTAGAATTTGCTTTCCACCTTCTTTGGTTTTGATTCAGGTGGGTTCTGTAAACAATCTACATATCTTGTTTCCTTGCAAGTTTCTGAACAGATTCAAGGAAGAGATTGACTACCTATCAATCTGGGGTATACATGACAAATCCATTCTTTGATTTTAATGTACATTTTATTTGCCAGATATTACATGGGACTTTGCTTCTCAGAGGGCAAATATTTTGTGGTTATATTTTCAAGGGTGGTTTGTTCCAATGCAGGAACCACTTGGTAGTATGTAGTCTGGAAAACAAGCTACAAATATGGATGCTTTAGGTACACAGCATCTGATTATGAGCATATCTTCCTGCATCTTGAAGGGCAGAAAGGAACTAATTAAGAAAGTAAAGTTTTTGCTTTTAGAATGAAATTCCTAAACATCTGCCAATGACCTGTTGGCAGAGAAGTAAATAATGAATAGACACTGGTACCAAGTGATTCTAATAACAGTGTATACTAAACGCCAACAAATCATATTTGTTTCCAAATGGACAATTGTAAGGCTATGCAACCAGGAAAAAGCTTGCAGGTCACTCATAGGAGGGAGAAGCAGTATCCTGAAGGGTTGAGGCTCTGGTTGATAATCAGCTGAATGTTAAGTTCCAGGGAGATGCTATGGACAAAACGGCTAACGCAATCCTTGGGTGTATGAAC